CCTGCGAGATTCGAACCCAGGACCTACTGGTTTCACGCGCGAACACTTAGCCACCAGACCACTGAGTCGGCATCCAACGGTGTTAATTTCTAACTTCAACTAATCCACGAAACTGAGTGACACATCCACCATTGTCTTCAGTGAGTTACTATCTCACAACAAACCCAGCTGAACTGCACTGGCCACTACTTCTCACTAAAACTCACTCAGTCACTAGTGAACATATGTTGAATAATATCAGATGGGTTTTGTGGATATTATAGTAATTTCAATGGTTAAGATCATGAGTCAGTTGAAGCTATGATCTTAACCATTGAAATTACTATAATATCCACAAAACCCATCTGATATTTATATTTGTATTTAAGATCAGGTTCAATTAAAATTCATCATATCATAGATCATCTATACTACAGAACAGCATTCTGATCTATGGAATCACATTTGATTGATCAGTGGGTGTTGATTAATGTCATGTATGCCAAGTCCTTCTTAGTGTAGATCGAATGCTATCGATCAAGTTGCAATGTGGCCACTAGTTTAGGTGACTCAACATTGCGTGCACTATGTTGAGATAATATGGTGGTTGGAGGTGGTAGTCAACATGAAACTCTGGATCTATGGAATCTTTCATAACCTATGAATGATACATATAAATCCAACATGTCATTGTTACCCTTCATATCAGATCACAGTTGTTTTGGCATAATCCATTTAATGAAATTAATGGTGAGTGACATGAACTTATTAATAATTTTAGATATTTAGAAAGTTATTAATAAGCTGACAATAGTATGACATGTAAATCATTTAAAGTAATTAGAAGCTATAAGTATATAAACTTCAATATAAATTTCTTGCTATCTGTCATAATTAACAAGACATATTTGCAAGCTAAACGGAATCAGTTTTTTTACTAGTGAATGAAGGCTACTTCACTTGATGTTTTAATCACAGTTGCTGACATTGAACTACCTTTGTTGAAAGTAACTCTCTACATAGATGAGATGTTCACACTAACTAATTACTAAATAGTATTCAATAGTAAGTAACAAAATAAATCAATTCTGTCAATATCATATTGTTTTCTTCCTAATGCTGACAGAATCCGGTTTAAAATCATTTAGATTAATGTTTAAACTTTAATATGAACGATCCAATTCAATTATCAACAGGCTATGATCACTACTGTAATAAGATTGTGGAACCTGTTCTGCTCAGATTGAAAATATCCGATATAACTGTCTGTTCAATTATATCTAGTGGTCATACCGTGAATTTTATTCTCCATTCCAAAACATTTCGCTATGGAATACTAAAGCTACCTTTTTTGTTAAACATTTTTAAATACAGGGTTCCAAACAGTGCATAGTTCACCAGCATTGGAACTAGGTGTTAAATGCCACGTGTTGGTCAGTATTCGGCATAGTGCTTCAGAACGTAAAATTAGTGTGGAAGATTAAACTTTATTAATTTGTCACTTCACTATGAAATGAGACTAAAGGAACTTTTGACTCAGTACGTCAAGACGTCATCAGAAACGGTTAAGAATAGAAACTATCGTTGATCCTACCGTTCTAATACATTGTACTCCTTATGCAAAAATCTCTCTTCTAACTGTATGAAATGAATCTTCATTATGTCATCACTTTTAATGCATAGTTTGAAAAATGTTATTTTTTCACTAATTTTGTCTCTTTAAATAAAGATTATATTTCTGATAACAATTTTCCGTTAGCTTCTGCTATGATGGATCTTACCCCATTTCATTGTATAGGATTTCACAAAAATAACCTTACTCTTTGTGTTCAAGAAACGTTTTTAATATAAGTTCTTTTTATAGAATTAATCTTAGTAAGATTGTCTTTGAAAACTAAGAAACACCGGAGAACTATTTTGCGCTATGATAAGACTCCTTATAAGCTAGATATATACACCACCAGATCTCGAATCAGTGATATATAAGTCAAACTTATGAGTGTGGGACATAATGTCCTAGGCTCGATACTTGATGGTAAAGTCGTGGAATGAAACAGGTGACTAGTGCTTACAGGTCTTCAGTGATGATCTTTATAAGGTCTTCTTTTTTTCGGTAAATCAACAGTTTAGAAAATGTATAAAAATTTCTCAAACAATACGAGTCAAGTAAGTTAAGACAACATTACCCATAATATTGCTTGGTATTTGAAACAAAACATCAATATTACCAAAATACCTTTGGTTTAAGTTGATTTACCTATTGAATACTCAGATATCATTTGATTCGCTTCCTGGTTAAAGCTTTTAAAAATTGTTTCAACTTTCTTGTTACAAAGTCAACTTCCAATGTTACTGATAACAACCCAATTCATTGTGCTCATTAACTTTGTTTTAATAAAATGAGTTAATGACCTTTCAGTTAATAAACATTATGAAGGTGATAGGAACCTTATAATCTATTCGAAAGTATTGTAAATCTCTTACTGTATATGATATTTTGCTATTCATGAACGATATTTCAAGTACATAGTACAAATGTTAAACTGTGATAGTCTATGTTGTATATATTAAGATATAAGTAACAAGGAGAATACTGCTTTCTTTACTAAAAAGCATTATTTATAATAGAATTTTAGGTATATTTGTTATGAAGTATCGAGCTAAAATCCACACTTATTTATTTCAACACAGCTATAATTAATTTCTCGAAGGTCCTGAGTTCGAATCCTCCTAACAGGATCGTCGATGCGCGCCGCTGAAGAGTCTCGTACCAGGACGAAGTTCCTGTACAATGCTTCCAGGTTTTCAATGGTGAAAAGTCCAATTCTAATTTGTTTATTTTATAGTAACCCATTTGTTTGGAGAGAGAGAGATACATATAAATCCCAGATCCTATTCTTAGTTATCTAGTTAATTGTTTTTAATCAATTCATAGTGAAAAATAATAACTTTCAAAAAAATCAGTTAATACCTCTTCATCATAGACTTTCCTTTAGAAACATGACATTGAGTTAGGATAATATGAAATTACCGTGAACCGGCTATTTAATAAATACGTAGTATAGACACAACAATTCATCATATATTAGTTTTAAAACTTTCACCTTTCCCAAACATTCTCCAACTCATATCTAACATATTATTTAGTCATATTAAGTTTCATTACGATATGTCTTGAGATCGGTTTGGTTTAGGTCTATGGTAATTTTCAATTACGATTGATCAAGATTATTCTAATACAATTGGGATCTGTTGCAACCTTCATAATACGGCAACTAACACATACCGCTTAAACAATAATCCCGGAACTATAGAACCTGAGAAAAATTTATGAGTTAAAAAAAGACTTGATATTTAACAAAATCACATTGAATTAGAACTGATCTTCACAAATAGTAACAAAACATAATCTCGTGACAGTAAAATTAGTAAACTAAAAGTGGTAGCAACCGAACATGAAACAAGAGAGATTATGCAGAAATTGTGAATTAGAAAAAATGTAATCGGATTGATTAGTACAGAAAAGAAATTAGTACTCATTCTGATATTCATTAACATATGACATATAACTAGTATTTAATTTATAAATCAAAGGTATAATGGAATAAAAAAGAGATTTCATTAAAGGATCATGACTTGTGGTAAACATTTTTGGAGGAACATGTTTGTCAACTAATCACTATTCTAATGCATATATATTGAAGAATTCATAGATTTGATGCCTATAAATATATCCCATCACTTCGCTTAATTTAACATACTATTATTACTAGTAACTGGCTTCAAGAAGTGTTTCCTGGAGTTCTGGAGAGAAGCAGTGACTAGTGTAGTTCAATAAAGTCTTTTGTGAGATAATAACCCACTGAATACAGTAGTGGATGTGTCGCTCGATTTCATGAATCAATTGAAGTTAGACATTAACACCATTGGATGCCGGTCGGCTCAGTGGTCTAGATGTTAAGCATTCGCGCGCAAGACTGATAGATCCTGGGTTGGAATCTCGTGAGCTGGTATCGTGGATGCGCATCGTTGAGTAATCCCACAATAGGACGCAGCGGCCGTCCAGTACTTGCAGGTTTTTATGGTGATCTAGCTTTGGTTGATTCATGATCTCAACTATTAAAATTATTATTGTTTCATTCATAATAAATAATTCCCTAAATGTTATTTGTATATACACAAACATCAGTGTTAAAATAATAGGATTTCTCCAAACTACTGAAGTATTAACAGTTTAACTTATATTAAATAAATTTTTTCAACATATTTAAGATGGTGAAGATTTATAGCTGAAGTGAATGATCTTAGTGGAGTTTTGTTCTTTATTCTAGATGGTTTGATCGTGGAACTTTCATCCTTATTCGCTGTACGACCTAACCATTCACCTAAAACAATTAAACTTCACTAAAGTCAACACATTCAAATTAAAATCCGACTTGAACAGTTTTTCAAATCATTTGAAGTGTCAATTATCAATGGGTCTATCTCATAATGAGTTAATGTTGTTATTTTCAACAAAATATAGAGTTAAGGATATAACATATACAGAATATAGTTTAATTTAACATTAAGATTTCTTTACATAAACTTAAATGAGGGTAATTCAATTTTTCAATTAATTATTTAAACATTGAATTCGTACAGATTGAAACTAATAATACAATAGATCACCAAGGGAACTTGAAAAGAAGTGTTGCCATTAATTCCTTAAAAAAACATTCAAAATAAAGCTAATTCACAGTAATGATCATGATCATGAGTCAAATAAAGCTAGACCATCATGGAAAACCTGAAAGCACTGGACAGCCACCTCGTACTAGTATGAAACTCCTTAGTAGTGCGTATCCATGATCTCACATGCTCATGAACGCTTACCCTCTATATCACTGAGCCAGTATTCAACGGTGTTCGAATCTCGCGAGGCAAAATTGTGGATACGCACTGCTAAGGAGTCTCATACTAGGATGATATAGCCGCTCAATGCTTCCAAGAATTTATTTAACAACTACTAATTTACTTACTTGTTCCATTACAGTTAATCGATAACTATCAGATAAATAAGATGGTTGTATTTGAAATTCCACACTAAAATTCAATAACATTCTATAAATTGGTGATAAAGCAGTTTTTGATGTATTCCATAATAATTCACCTTTTGGTAAACGATGTACAATAACACCAAATTTTAAATCAGGTTGAATTTCAATTGCTTTCATACGAAATTGATCCATAACAGTTTTACTAAACCATGGTAATGGCATTGGTTGTGTAATAATATTTAAACGTTTCATTGCATCTAAAAATAAACGTTTTGATTCTTGTGATTGTGGACATATTGTTATACCAGGTACTTGATCATAAACAGTATGACGACCAGAATAATCTAATTGAAATACTGTTTGATGTTTTAAATATTGCATTACTACAAGACTAATACATATACATAATCCAATACACATAATTGCTGTAACAATTGCCCATAATAAACGTAATGAACGTGATGGTGCATTAGCTATTTTAGCTAATGGAACTAAAGAACTTTGTGAAAACACATTAGAGAAACATTTCATTATAGTGTGATCTGTATTTTGTATTAAACACATGAGATGATTGTAAAGAGAAATGAATAATAATAGTAATAATAATGAATTACTTATGATACACTAACTTTCTATTGAGTATACTATCTCTTAATAATAATAATTAATTATTTATTGAGTAAACAGATTTTATTATTTAGATTCATTTAATGAATAAATCATAAATAAATTTGGATAATAAATGAAATTTTTATTCATTATTTAAATCAACCAATCAAATTATCGTTATATGTGGGTGTTTTCCCAATTACAAATCATGTCGCTTTAACAATAACAACAACAAAATAAACAACTTTTTTTGTTACTAATCATTTTTGAATGTTAATTACAGATAAAATGTTGATCTTTTTATTATTAAACAAAGGGGGGGAGTTTGTAGAGAGTTTAGTAATTTTATAATTAAATTCATGAGTTCATTGAAGCTAGAGTACTATGGAATGATATATATATATATATATTTCTGATTAGCATTAATTGAATCACATTTGATGGAGAAGATTTGGAAAATGTAAAAACCTCCACATATTTGGGCAGCATCATTGATGAACATGGCTGATATCACGCAGATGTGAATATGCGGATCAGCAAAGCAAGAGCAGGATATTTACAATTGAAGAATATCTGGAACTCAAAACAACTGTATATCAAACAACACAAAGGTCAGAGTTTTCAATACAAATGTCAATACAGTTCTACTGTATGTGTCGGAAACTTGGACAACTACGGAAGCCATCATTCAGAAGATACAAGTGTCTATTAACAGTTGTCTATGAAAAATACTTCGGATCCGTTGGCCGGGCACTATTGGCAGCAACCTACTGTGGGAGAGAACAAACGAGATCCCATCGGAGGAAGAAATCAAGAAGAGGTGCTGGGAGTGTGTAGGACACACACTGAGGAAAGCACACAACTGCGTCACAATGCAAGCTCTCACATGGAATCCTCAATTCCAAAGAAGAAGAAGAATACCAAAGAACACAATACATCGAGAAATGTAGACAGACATGAGAAGAATGATAAGAACAAGGATTGGATAGAACTGGAAAGGAAGGCCCAGTACAGAGTGGGTTGGAGAATTTTGGTCGGCGACCTATGTTCCACTGGGACTAACAGGAATAAGTCAGTCAGTCAGCTAAACGTAGGACCAGGCACATATAAGCATCGATCCAAGTCGCCATATCTCATTAACACAACAAGATGGACACCGAATTCATATAAGTAGTTAATTCAGAGGTGGTAATATATAAAAGAAAGATTGCAATAAGGATATAGTACAAGAAAGAATTAGTTCGTAGAAAGAAAGATATGAAGCGATTTTAATCTCCTAGTTTAAGAGAAGACAGAGAGTGTATACTCCTACGCCATTATGATCGATTCTGAGCCATGTCACACACAGTCTCCAACCATTGGTTACGAAAGTCACGCGGACCCCAACCAAGTAGTCTGCATCTACCAACATGGCTCAGACTAGAAGTTAATAACTTCAAGCACTGATGCCACGTTTTGGTTTGACCACCCCTAACTTTCTTCCAACCATCTCCATCACCGGTTAGCATTGCACGTTGTGGTAAGCGGTGTTCGGGCATACGTAACACGTGGCCCAACCATCTCAGTCGATGAAGATTAACAAACTCATCAACTGATTTACCATCATTCCCTGATACCCTATTTCTAACCTCACTATTACTTACCCAGTGATCCCATCAGATGCGAACAATATTTCTAAGACATTTGTGATCAAATACTAGTGGTTTACGAGTATCTTCTACTCTTAATGGCCACGTTTCGCATCCGTAAAGTAAACCAGAACGAACTGTCTCACAGTATACTCGTCCTTTTATTGATAGACGGATATCTCGCCTTCGCCATAGGTGACGCAAGTTGGCAAATGCCAAACGAGCTTTTCGAATCCGTGCTGAGATTTCGTCAGACACCAACCCATTAGGGCTGATCAGACTAACACTAACAGAACTCAAGAGTATGTAAGTAAGTAAGTAAAACTACTATGGAAAACCTCGAAGCACTGGGCGGTCATTTCGTCCTAGTATTGGACTCCAAAGGAGTGCGCATCTAAGATTTTGAACTGGGATATTTGAAACCAGAACCTATTAATCTCACGTGCGAACCATTAACCTCTAGACCACTGAGCCGGCCGGCATCCAGTGGTGTTAATGTCTAGTTTCAACCAAAACAATATATGTAGTGGTTTAGCTTCGTTAATCACTCACCTTGATAACTGATATCATATAAATCCCAACAGTGAAATCAGAATGTAATAAGAAGTTTTCATGTCAACTGAGTTTTACACCGATCAGCAGTTTCATCTTTTAATTAAATCTATTCGAAGCATATATTCAATGTACTCTATTGTATAGACTTTATCAAGGGCCTCTTAAACTTTAGATAGTCGAAAATATGATATTTTATTCAACTGATCTTTGTTAGTTTATAAATTAAAATTATTGACAATTATATATATCTCACTAGATCGTTCGAAATGTATAACTGGAATATATTATGTTCTTCACATCAATTCCATCTTCTCATTACTTGTAACAACTTATGATTATCATAAGGGGTTTGTGGAGATTTTAAAAATTTCACAGATTGAAATCATGAGTCAATTGAAGCTAGACCACCATGGAAAACCTGGAAACACTGAACGGCCGTTTCGTCCTAGTATGGGGACTCCTCAGTAGTGCTTCCAGGTTTTCCATGGTGGTCTAGCTTCAATTGACTCATGATTTTAATCTGTGAAACCTACGATTAGTTTAATAAAGATTAAGTGGTTTAAACACTAAAGAAAATAACTTTCTCCGTATCAAAACTCAGTTAAATCGATCTATTACAATTGCTTAGTAAAAATTCAAATATATATATATATATATATATTAATATATATTATATATATATATATATATTAATGGCGGTCTAACTTTGATCCATTCATGATATCAATTTAAACTCAACAATCTCCACAATTTTATCATGCTGTCACTAGTGACTGGCTTGAAGATGAATTTCCTAGGGTTCTAGTGAGAACTCGTGACATGTGGAGTTCAACCAGGTCTGTTGTGAGACAGTTACTCATTGAAGACAATAGTGAACGGTCGCGCAATATCGTAGATTGGTTGGAGTTAAATATTAACACCGTGGGATGTCGGTTCAATGGTTTAATAATTAAGAGTTCGCGCTCCAGACCGATTGTCTTAGTTTCAAGTCCTTTTCGTACAGGATACTAAATGCACATTGTTGTGGAGTCTCATACTAGGCCAAAGCAATCGTCCAGTTATTCCAAATTTTCAATGATTATCTAACATTGATCTATTCATGTTATCAATTTAAACTCAACAATTTAAGTTTTCAATTAAGCTACTTCATAAAATCAACTACATTTAAATGTTGCAAGATTCATTGAAATTCACTTTCGTTTTTTTCTTTGTTTTACACTGGTTAGGGTTAGTTATTCTATGGAACAGTCTAGAAAATATACAATTAATCATTTTCAGTTAACTAAACAAAATGATAAAAACTAACTTTTTTCAAAACGAAATGTAAGTCTACTAATAAAATGAAAAAATTAATAAAAAAATAGTGATAATAATCATCTGCTCACTAGTAACTGACGTCAAGAGGCATTTCCTGAAGTTCTAGTGAGAAGCCGTGACCAATGGAGTTCAACCGGGTCTGTGGCGAGGTATCAGGTCACTGAAGACAATAGTGTACGGTGGAATGATAACGTTGATTAGTTGAAGTTAGACATTAATACCGTTGGATACCGGTTGGCTCAGTGGTCTAACTATTAAAATTACTAAAATATCCACAAAATCCCTTCTGTTATTTAACTTTCCTTTCAATCATAAGAGGTATATCAATAAACATTTGTTTGACATAGTTATTTATATGTTATCGTTTGTTTGGTTATTTTCTTTTCACAAATAAAGGGAACAAGAAGTTTTAAATGTACAAAATATACGTTTCCTTTAAAATAAATAAATAAATAAAAACATGAATCGTTTTAACCTTTACTTGATTAAATGATCAATACATAAACAGTTTTTGTTTTATCCACCATTTAATAAATGAAACACACTGTCACAATGAAGTAAACAAAAATGTCAACGGAATAATTTCAGCTTATCATTTATTATTATTATGATGATGATGAGTATTACAGAGGGGAGTTGGACATTTGAAAGGTTAACAGATTTATAGAATATCATGTTAAAATATAAGAACTATATATTGAATGCATCATTTGTAAATATCCAACATTTGTCCTTTATATTCTATATGATTGTTCTTATTGGAAATTTTTGTTTCTATTTCTATTCCTTTCATATTGATTTTTTTCTTAGACTTCTGTTGTCAGGGTTTCTTATTTCTAATTGGTTTTACATAATACTTATGTTGATAGATATAAGTAGTATATGCCCTGGTACGGCCGAGAGTGGGGAGAGTCCGCTCTCCCTCTCGAAATGCTCTCACATGGTCACGCGTATATAGCCTATGCCAGGGAAGTCCTACTCACTGCCTTCTAGTGGCGGGGGCGTTGTTTACGAAAATGGGAGGACGATAAGCGAATGTCCGGCGCTTTAACTGGATTCCGAACCAATGGTGTACATGGGCTCTAGTATCCTGCGGGAACAAATGGCGTATGAACCTATTGTTGGTCACTGGCTACCATGGGACTGCATCTCCTTACGATGCTCCACTGCCTTGTGGATTAGACCTTCAGGTCGATGGCTTGAGGAGTACCTCCTAAGAAAACCACCTGCTTCAGTATGGGCACCCGGATGGTATCACAGCCCTCACACATATCGAATGAGATTTGTGTGGCGCATATGTATTTGGTGCCTCCTTGTACCAATATCTATGTGTCAAAATAAATAATAAATAAATAATGATTTCGATTAGTCGATTGTGGATGGGATTTTTATCAAACAACAACGTAGAAAATGTATTGGAGAAATGTTGTTAGTTTATAGAGTCAGAAGAAATGTTCAGGAATTAGGTCGAA